GCACTACCAAGTTCGCGATAAAAATGCAAACAACAAAAGCCACGTCAAAGGTCATGACGATGACTAAGAATTGGCGATGATAATTTGGCGAGATACATGAAAAATGTTTTGCACTATTTTTCTTAAGAATCCTTCCTTTCGTTTTATTCAAAGATTTCGAGATCCTTGACATATTTCAAGAATGGAAAGAAGGAATATACGTATGGAATATTGGAATTGCGAGAAATAGTGAGAAATTTATGAAATAAAATAAAAGAAATGTGTATATTATTGTTATTAAAAAAATCAATCGACTTTGAATGGAATATTTAAGAAAATTTTATAATTGAAAATCTAATATGTTTTCGAAGACAGAATATTCCTTTCTTTTTTTTTTTTTTTTTTTTTTTAGAAATGTTATTCGTGCGACGAAGAAAAATATTATTTTTCTCAGATATAAGAATTAAAATTGCCTTGGAAAAAAATCGAGGTCATAAAGATTGAAATTTTAATTGTAAAGAAATCTGTTTTCTTGAATTATAAAGAATCAGAATCTACATCAAAGGGCTTTTTAGAAATTCTTCTAATCGTGATTACAGCTTCTATTTAACTAGTATAGAATAATAAATTTATCCGTATAAAAAATAAAAAATATTTACGAACAATAAATATTTAGAAAAACTAGGGATAATTATCATGTTTTCACGGGAACGAGCAACGAATTGAAGTTACTATATATGTTACTCTCATGAGAAACATTAAAAACTCGTTAAGACGTTAGATTCATTTTATACGTCTTGGGAAAAAGTATACAATGTATCTCGTAATTTTGCCCAACGACTTCAATTTCGAAAAAATAAAGAAAAAAATGCATAAAACATAGTAACCTTAAAACTGATGTATACATCACATAAAGAAATTTTATCGAATTCAAATAAGAGTATATAAATTTTATTAAAATAAGGAGATTAAAGATAAAATAATGATTAAAATTAATATTTATTACCTTTCTGTGAGAAATCGATAAATTATAAATTAATATGAAAGTTTATTGAAAATATTAAAATTATTAAGCAACTTGCGGATGTTTGTTCCGCTATTTGCGAATGTTTGCAATTCATATTTTTATGAAGATAACTGATCTATATAAAGAGTTGTTTCACCAATAATTATAACGAGCACTTTCTAATATTTTTTATATTTCTATACATTCTATGCATATATATATATAGATGATCTCATTAATTTTAAAATTTCGTTAAAATTAATCGATTTTGATAATAATCCATAAAAATCAGTTTTATTATTAAAATATTTTATTAAACACATCTATAACGACAATAATAAAGGAACTTTCTTTTACATTGTAAAATAAAATTTTATCGATGATAAACGAGCTTCTCGATACCATAAATCGATAGTACATGAAACGAAATTATATCACGAGCAATCGTAACCATACTGTAGAAAACGTAATACTAACGTAGAGTAAAATGATGCTGCAGATGTTTCCCCGTAAAGAAGGGAAAATTAACGTAGTAGGTGGAAAACATCGAGGCCGTAGCGCAGAAAATACTGCGTTTGCGCAGCACAGGTATGGGGCACCTTATAGTGCAGGGTACGCGCGACAGTGAAAGTAGCGAGAAGTCGGGCGCTGATTGGTCGGTTGGCGGCCGAGGTACGTCGGAGCCTGGCGGGCACCCTCGTGCCTGCACGGCCAGGCCGTACGCCTTCAGTCAGTGGCGGACCGTAGACTTGGTAACATCGTTTAGTGTTGCGTTCATGTGTACATGTTAACACGCAGCCTGTCATCTACGAAATAAAAAAAGGATAAACTGAAGAATAAAGAGAAACACCTAACATTCACGTGTGTGTGAGTGTGTGTTTGTGTGCATCTGTGTTGATTGCATTATCGGAGTATTGCCGGCAGAGCCGTATAAAATTTGTGTGCACGCGTGTGAGTGTATGCCCCTAAGTGTGACGTAACGCGTTGCTACATCGTCGTGTTTTGTTTATGCGTCGCACAATCGAGCTCTCGCACGATTGTCGTCAATGTACACGTGCATATCGTGGATGAGCATTGCGCGGTATGCAAAGCTCGAGTAAAACAAGAAAGATGTCTTCGTACTTCTTCTGATCTTTCTTCTACAGTGATCATTCCAGAGAAAAAAAGAGAAAAAGATATGAAATTGTCGTAAAGGTGGTGTGGAGATAAGTGTATATGTGTGCGTGGTTGCACCAAAGAGAAAACGAGAAAGTAGAAAGAGAAAAGGATACGACGAGAAACTCGGTCGTAGAAAAGGAGTGAGAGAGAGAAGGTTGGTGAAGACGGAGCAGCGTGGAGGAAAACGAGAAGAAGGAAAGAGAGAAAGAGTGGCGCATATCAGCGTGACGGAAAAGTGGAACGAACAAGAAAGAGACTCGCTCGAACGAACGTACACACGTTCTGCTGGTGACCTCGATACACGGAGTACCGACTGTCCGTTCTCGTCGATCGTGCGCAGCCTCAGATACGGAGAATTTCGCCAGTGAAAATCATGCATTTCTACCACGGCTATTCGGCTGGTTGACGTTCTCGAACAACGCGGCGTGCCTGTGATAGAGAAAGATAAACAGGCTTGCTCACTGGCTGCCTGTACGTCATCTCTTTCTCTCTCTCTCTCTCTCTCTCTCCTTCCCTCTCTCCCTACCGCCCGCGTCT